TATGACGACACAGTCGTATATAGAAAAATGCCAAATAGCAAGCCCTCTGTTGTCCTCAAAATTTGAAAAAGTCATACTCTTTGCAGATTTCCGTTTTCTGTATGAAATGTATTGCCACTCATCCTTGGAATATTGTAGTGAATGCAACTTTGCATTTTTCAGCCTATAATTGTACATACAATTATTTAAATATGCCTACCAACTGTGACTGTAAAAGAAGTACTCTTTTCAAAATATTAGCTTCTGCAGTGATGTGGCTGTCAAATCGGCTGTTTCAATCAGAGGGGTTTATTGTGATTTGATACCTGGGATTGACCAATCAAAATTGAGTATTTTCCAAATTCATGGTAGAATGATGAATTGATGAGGGACCCACAATAACCAACAGGGCTCAACAATGCTTCATAGTGATCAACAATGCTTCATAGTGCTTCTCAGTGCTTCATAATGCTTCTCAGTGCTTCACAATGCTTCACAGTGTTTCATAGTACTTCAGGGGCGATCGGGTAGCCTCGTGGTTAAAGCGTTCGCTTGTCACACCGAAGACCCGGGTTCAATTCCCGATATGGGTACAATGTGTAAAGCCCATTTCTGGTGTCCCCTGCAGTGATATTGCTGGAATATTGCTAAAAGCGGCATAAAACCATACTCACTCACTTATTCTTTATAATGCTTCATAATGCTTCATAGTGCTTCTGAGTGATTTATAGTGCTTCATAGTGCCCAGTATGCTCAGTTATGTCAAAATAGTGTCCCTCAGCAATACATGGTACACAGCACATACATTACACTCCATTGGATGCTTGCCACCCATTACAAGACAGTGAGATGAAGACGAAGGGGGAAGCTCCAGCACCTTCTGTAGTCCATGCACAACACCGACCATGGCCGCCTCATTCTGTGACAGCCATGAAGATACATGTGTGTTGAAGCCCACTTTGTTACAAACAATTCCCCCTCACATGTTCTGCAGTTACAATACATCAGCTTAAATTAAACACAGCTTTTGATCGTGCAAAGCTAAAAACCACCCTGAATTTGTAGACAGAATGTTCTCTGTCAGCTGCATCCTATACAGAAGCTCATAGATTCTGGTAGTAGTGGTCTGTGTTCCTTAAAGGGGCAGTTTGATGGCTATACAACAGGTCCGGAGGTAGAAAATGTTTCTTGACTTCTTTGTTTGTCTTGGGTTTAACCTTCATATTTTTATTTGAATCAGCATTCCAAATAGAAATTTATTTGTGTCCTATCTTCCCCATTGCTGAGTCCCGAATACCCTGAAAATAGACCCCGATTCCGATGTACCAAAAGGGGATGGCAGCTTCAGATATTATAGACCAATCTGTCATGAATTCATGTTGGAAATTATGAGAATAATTCACTTTGACATAACCACCCGTGAAGATCCAGGGTAGAATAGGTCTTCAGCAACCCATGCTTGTCCCCCGTGAAGATCTGGGGTAGAATAGGTCTTCAGCTTCCCATTCTTGTACCCCGTGAAGATCCAGGTAGAATAGGTCTTCAGCTACCCATTCTTGTACCCCGTGAAGATCTGGGGTAGAATAGGTCTTCAGTTTCCCATTCTTGTACCCCGTGAAGATCCGGGTAGAATAGGTCTTCAGCTACCCATTCTTGTACCCTGTGAAGATCCGGGGTAGAATAGGTCTCCAGCAACCCATCTTGTACCCCGTGAAGATCCGGGTAGAATAGGTCTTCAGCAACCCATGCTTGTACCCCGTGAAGATCCGGGTTAGAATAGGTCTTCAGCAACCCATGCTTGTACCCCGTGAAGATCCAGGGTAGAATAGGTCTTCAGCAACCCATGCTTGTACCCCGTGAAGGTCTGGGATAGAATAGGTCTCCAGCAACCCATGCTTATAGTAAAAGGCAACTATGCTTGTCTTAAAAGGCGACTAACGGGATCAGGCTCACTGACTTGGTTGAAGCATGTCAGCGATCCCAATTGCGGGGATAGATGCTCATGGCATCAATCACTGGATTGTCTGGTCGAGACTTGATTATTTACAGACTGCCATCATATAGCTGGACTACTGCTGAGTGCGGCGTTAAACAACCAACCAACCAACCAACCAACTTGGACATGAGTATACAGAATACGTTTGGTCTACAACATTGAGATATAGAGAATCTCACCCAAGTGTCTTTTGATATGAAATATATCAACACAAGTTGATAAAAGCTGTTGATAGATTTGATATCAAAAGACACCTGGGATGAGATTTTATTTATCATCCAACATCATTCTTCCAACTTTTTCAGTTTGTAGACAGTAATAAGCCGTTTCTTAAGTGTAAAAAGTACTGCTAACAGTTTTAGTAGCAGAGCCATTAGTGATGTCATTTCATTATGACATCACAATGGTCTACAAAGCATTGTGATGCAATTTCATTGCAGAGATGTCTACAATGTAGATATTGCTTGATCTGACCCAAGCTATATCTCCTATGGGAGCCAGTTTTGGATGATAAAATGCATTGTGCCACTGTGATAACCAAGATCTGGTTGTAATATTTCCCCTTGGAATGCACCCTCACACGCTCCCACTCACATTCTTCAATTGTCCTTACCAAGTATAGTCTGGAAGGTAATTTAGGGTGCCAACGTTTACTACAATATCTGAAAAACTATTGGACCTACTCCAGTCCTAAAGCATCATTAAACCCAACTCACTCACTTTGTATCTTGGGTATCATATACACCTCCCTTTTTCAAAATCCAACAGTATTTACAATTGTATAGAATCAATATATACAAAGAAGAATCAAGACCATCAATGTTGTAGAATGATGTAGATATATGTGCAAGAAACATTATCTTATCTCCTTGATTTCTGTATGGAGCTTTAAATAATTGTTTGTTAAAATGTCTGGCAGCTGCAGGACGAAAACCGCTGAAGGAATGAAGCCTTGGCATGTGGTCAAAAGTGTTTCAATAGTGTTTAAGTTTTAGCTTGTAACATATAGTCTGGAAGGTAATTTAAGGTACCGACATTTACTACAATATCTGAAAAACTATCTGACCTACTCCAGTCAAAGTTGGTATGAGATTATTAAACAGTCATACATACCCAGATAGCAGTCAGACGTTGGGCCAACGTTGGGCCAACGTTATCACTTACGTTGGGCCAACGTTGGCTATCAACGTTGGCCCAACGTCATTTTGACCGGCGGCCAAACGTTGGGCCAACGTTTCTTTGCCAACGTTGGGCCAACGTTGACCCAACGTTGGGACAACGATGTTCAGCCAACGTTGGACCAACGTTGGGCCGCCGGTCAAAATGACGTTGGGCCAACGTTGATAGCCAACGTAGACCCAAAGTTGATGGCCAACGTTGGCCCAACGTTAGATTACGCCTTTTTTATTCCTCACTACCTCCCAGGCTGCCTGAAATGTTTGTACCGGTCTTGTTAAGACATCAGGTAACAAGCAATACGTTCTGCAAGCTAAATTCATTCTGAACACTATCCATGAAAGAGCATGCCAATGAAATTTGCTCTCTTCTGGCAGGGTACCTCAGCATGCATAGTTTGAAATATGGCCAAGAAAAAAATTCAAAATGTTCTAAAATACATGTACAATTTAGTGATATAATATTTACTTTCCCCAAAACTTTTCAAGACATTGTGCAAATTGTTCACAAATTTTTCAACACTATTAAAAGATATATGATTTTCCCATGAGTTTGCAAACTAAAAACCATCACCCAGCAGACAATAAGCCCGGCACAAATTGAAACATTTAATATTTCTTGGCCTTACCCCATACCTTCAGCACTGAGGAGCAACGCTGAGACAAGCTAAATAGTCCATGCTTCAGATGTCCTATGATCCATATCCTTGATCCATTAAAAAATATGACAGCAACAAAGGGACAATAAAATTCTGGTTTCAGTGACCTTTATTTATTAGTTAAATGTCAAGTCAGAACTTGGGCTGAGTGGTTGAGGAGCCTTTTCAACCATCAGATGTAGAGTGAGAAGAACTTATCACAGCGATGATCTTCAACTGTATCCATGGTCTTTCCCAATTGTGCCTTGCTAACTGAATAAAAAAAACAATGACACAAATATAATAAAAATGACAAGGCAAGGAACATATTTTTGACATAAACAAATGGTTGCATTCCCCCAAATAATAATGTGATGTCTGAAAAAAGTTTCAGCAATGCTACCTCCACCCTCCAAGTCATAAAACTGTTAAAAACGGGGAAGGCAGCATGGACAGTAATACCATAATGCTCTTGGATCATACATAGGCAGAAAAGCTATTGACACTGAAATGAACAAGGGTAACGACTCATTCATTTTTCAAAGGTCAAAACATGGAAAAAGCATAATTATCAAAATCAAACTTTGCACTGCACTTCTCCTATTGGAATAGAAACCAATCCAAATTGGAAAAGAATCCATGTATTTCTTTTCAAGTTATAGGTTGCACAAATGTTGAAGAAAATAATTCTAAGTTCAAAACATGTAAAAAAATCATACTGTTTTATAAAAATACCCATATCAAAATCAACCTTTGCCATGCATCTCTCCAATTAATATAAAAAGTGTTCCTTAAATTTGGACAGAATCCATGTAGTAGTTCTCAAATTATAGGTAGCACAATAGTTGAAGTAAACAATATTCTAAGTTCAAAACATGAAAAAAGTTATATTTTCTTAGAAAATACACTAATCAAAACCAAACTACGCACTGCACCTCTCCTATGGGTATAGAAACTGTACTCCTAATTGGAAAAGAATCCATGAAGTAGTGTTCAAGTGATAGGTCGCACAAAGGTTGAAATAAAAAGAAATATTCAAAGTTAAAAACATTAAAAGAATCATATTTCTCTCAGAATATATACATATCAAAATCAAACTTTGCACTGCACTCACACACAAAAATGTCTTTGGAATGAAGGACGGATGGATAAACTTTATCAACCCGCCCTGTTAGATTGGGGCATAATTAAGAATCATCTACATTTTTATTATTGAAGATGTTTGTATATATTATTGCATCATGCATACCTTTCTGGCTGTGATGTACTTTAAACAAATATGCTTCCCCAATACTGTAAACTCCACCTGAAAGAAAAATAGAAACCTCAAAGTATCACATTCTCAAATAAACCAGCAGAGATAAATCTCATTTACTAACAGTATGTCGTCAGCGGTGTTAATTTTGGCAAAAAGTTTCATCAGCCAATAGAAATCAACTGTAATTATTCAAAAGCAGTAACTTTGCCTTTCTGCATTGCAAATGCAAAATAGCATATGTTGGCAGAGTTTCTAAAATCTGATGTGAAAAATAAACAAATAAATGAAAAATATATATTTCCAAATAAAATAAATAGTTCTCATGTTGCAAGCATGAGTGTTGAATATGATTATGAACTGAACTTCCAATCAGTTACAGAACTGTTAACACTTTGTGGCATTTAATTAAAAACGTGATTATAGATTCTATTTAATTTTTTTTTAAATAACACCAATATTTTACATATTAATATGCCAGGATATTTATAAATGTTCTAACATTTACAGAGATAGTGACGTTGGGAAAATTAACAAAATGCGATATCTGAGACAATATCAGACGAAGTTGAAATATCTCTGTAAATATTTATTGAAATATATTATTCTCAATCGGAAATGATTTAGTGACTATTTCGTACCCAATCTAATCCAATACGTTCCCTTAGTTTTAACCATAACTCCCCGTAGTAGTAAATCATTTCATAATATACACAAATAAATAATAATCAATCCCTTTCAAATAACAACAAACACGATCCCACGGCCACTGATTGGTGATCGAAAACTGAACTCGCGGTGTTGCCGACAACAAGGAAAAGCTCCATACATGGATCAGCAGGAGTCTGCATGGTATTATTACATTATGTACACGGAATGCTTTGAGTTTTAGAAGCCTCGTTCTCAGTTGTTCAGTGTAATTGATCTTTTTCACCGTAAAGTTAATTGTCACAAGCGATAACGAATTTCACCTTTTCAATTGAGTTTGCTTGTTATTTTTAAACATACGCGAGAATAGAAACAACCAGTATTCATTTACAAATACCATAGTCAGTAGTCATGTGGTTGCTCGCTGTCCGGTGACCTCCAACTGTTAGAAACAGCTAAGATCAACACTGCAACTTACGAGATACGGTGCACATTTCTTTGCACTATCTTGTCCTCTTGATGACGACAAAATTTATGATACGGACAAGCTCGATTATTTTGGGAAATGTTAATAATAATATGCTATATTTGCAAGCAATCAGAGTGACATATTCCTATTCGTCTTCGGTCATGAAGTTAGTGAACGTGGTGTTTTCAATTTCTGGAAAATAATTACTCGTGTTGATATTTCTGAATGAACAATGGTTGTTTTTTCTCGGGTACTGTTGGAACATTATATCAAGACATTAATTAAACACTTACCTCTATATATATTCGAAGAAAACAGTATTCCGATGATCGAGCCTGTGCTTGTGTCGTGTCGTCTGCTCGTCGAGAGGCGCAAAAACGCAGCGCCCTCTATGAGAAGTTGTCAATTAAGAGTAGCGCCCCTTGGAAATAATTTCCGAAAGCGACCTGACGTTGAAACAACGTTGGGCCAACGTATGAAATCCGACCGCGACATTGCCAACCTTTGCCAACGTTGGGCCAACGTCTGAATGCTAACTGGGTAACTGGAAATTACATTTAAAGACAATCAGTGCATGAATAAAAAATGGATATTACATTTAAAGACAATCAGTGCATGAATAAAAAATCTGTCTATTTAGCTATCACTGTTTCATCAACAACCAGACCTGTTCGTCACGGGTGGAATGAGCATTCATTGTAACAGCCATCTGCATAATGCTACCCGTGCGTCACAGGGCCATATGACACAGTTGAACCAATCAACTCAACTTGAAAGGGTGCACGGGAATCACGCACGCACGAATACGGTGTTAGCGTTGGGCGTCACAACGTGCGTGATTCCCGTGCACCCTTTCGAGTTGAGTTGATTGGTTTAGCTGTGTGAGGGAAATGTTTCCTAACTTACTTTGGATTTGCATTGTGAAATACTTTTTTGTTGCTGACCGTGACTCGGAGATGAAGTCTATTTCATTGTCTTGTTCTGCTTCCTGTCCACCATGACAGTTGCGTCTGCTGACACTCTCCATGCTGCTGATGTAAACAATTAAAACTATAAATAAATCAAGATTCCGGGATGATTCAATTGAGATTGAGGTAGGCAAGAAAAAGACTCATATCTATTATAGTTCTTACAAAATACCATGAAATGATATTCCTCAACTTTTGATAGGAGTGAGTGAGTGAGTGAGTATGGTTTTACGCTGCTTTTAGCAATATTCCAGCAATATCACGGCAGGGGACACCAGAAATGGGCTTCACACATTGTACCCATGTCGGGAATTGAACCAGGGTCTTCGGCGTGACGAGCAAACGCTTTAACCACTATATGGGCAGCCATTCGGTCAAAAAATACAAAGTTGAAAAAAAGGACAAAAGTACGCAATTAGGCCAAATATTACGAATAAAGAACTAAATGTTACTACTAAAGGTCAAAATACAAACAAACAGACGAGGGTTAAACATACAAAGTTGAAATAAATGTCAAAAGTACGAAATATTGATAGTCAAATGTTACGAAAAGACGTCATAAGAAAAGAAAGAACAATGTGTACGAAAGAACGTCAGTGAGCATGGAAGGACGTTTTCAATAAAGAACATCTGTGAGCACGAAAGAATGTTGACAATAAAGAACGCCAGATGGCGCTGCAATTTGTAAAACATTCCGAGTTCAATCGTCTTGTTCCGATAATATGATAACTGCGTGCCGAGGTGCACAATGTATTACGTCATTCCTTGTGCACTCACCTTCTGACGTCACACATATATATACATGTATTTATAATGTATAATGAACACATTGTGTATAAACATGTTGCGTTTAAATTTTGTCACCGCTAGGCTACCCGACCGCCCCAATAGAAATGATGAGTGTGTAGATTAAACCTTAGCCACTGACAATGTATAATTTTCACAGAAACAAGCAACTAGTGTTTTAATTTTAAAAGGAGCCCCAGTAAGACCCTGTGAAAAATCCTACGTTATATAGGGCTGTAGCATTATAAGGGCTTGGCAGAAGGGAAAATAATATGAGGGACTTTGAGACAGAGAACTGTGAGCTATGGAATCACTTCCGGGCCACAATGTCAAAATGTCGTAAAACTGGATGGCTTGAAGGTTTTGTAGTAACTTCATTCTGCGGTCATCCTTGTGCAACAGTGTTGACTCTACTCTTGATTATTTTGTGTAAATTGTTGTCTTTAAGAGATAAACATTGTCTTTCCAGATTTGTGTGTTTTATTGAGTATTTGATGTCATCAAAGATAGACCTGCAACAGATCGGGACATTATGCTTGTCGTAAGAGGCGACTAATGGAATCGGGTGGTCAGGCTAGCTGACTTGGTTCATGCATGTCATCGTATCCCAATTGCGTGGATCGATGCTCATGATGTCAATCACTGGACTGTCTGGTCCAGACTCGATTATTTACAGACCGGTATCATACAGCTGGAATATTGCTGAGTGCAGCGTTAAACAACAAACAAACAAATGCAGCAGATCGCGTAACAGTTGAGAAGCACAGATGAAGTCATGTGTAGTGTTTAGTTTCAACTGTTTGAGAAACTGTCGGGTCTTGACAACTGTAGGGATATCTTCTTCCTTCGTCTTCTCTGCGGTGTTAAACACACGTCACTGCTCGGTAGGAAGGAAGTAATCAATGTGTCTCCATGCTGTAGTACTTCCCATCATGCGTTGATTACACTCCAGATTCACAGGAAGATATGAGGTTTAGCCTGGTCAGGGTGGGAGGCGGTACAGCACCGGCACAGCTCATAAAAGACAGAGTAACAACAGATTGTGTCAGACACATTGATCTTGTCTGGATACTTCAGCACTGGGGAGACTTATATAATAGACCTGTGTTCACCCTAAGCATGTACTGCAAACATGGGTCTGGATGTGATTCTCCTTGATATAACTGTGTTATAACCCATGATATAACTGTGTTATAATCCATGATATAACCCATGATATAACTGTATTATAACCCATTGATATAACTGTGCTATAACCCATGATATAACTGTGATATAACACATGATATAACTGTTATAATATAACTGTTATAACACATAATATAACTGTTATAACACATGATATAACTGTGATATAACCCATGATATAACTTATAACCCATGATGTAACTGTGTTATGATCCATGATATAATCCATAATATAACTGTATTATAACCCATGATATAACTGTGCTATAACCCATGATATAACTCATGATATAACTGTTATAATATAACTGTTATAACACATAATATAACTGTTATAAAACATATTATAACTGTGATATAACCCATGATATAACTGTGTTATATGAATGTGATATAACCCATGATATAACTGTGAGATAATCTCATGATATAACAGTAAAATAACCCCATGATATAACTGGGATATAACCCCATGGTATAACCCTGAGATTACCCCATCATGATGCTGTGATATAACCCAGTGATATAACTATATGACCCATGATATAACCACATGGTATAGTCAAATGATATAACTGATATAGCCACGTGATATACCTGATATAACTGATATAGCCGCATGATATAACTATGATATAACCCTTGATATAACTACATGATATAGCCACATGATATAACTGATATAGTCACATGATATAACTGATATAGCCACATGATATAACTGATATAGTCACATGATATAACTGATATAGCCACATGATATAACTGATATAGCCACATGAAATAACTGATATAGCCACATAATATAACTGATATAGCCACATCATATGACTGATATGGCCACATCATATAACTGATATACCCACATAGTGACATAACCATGTGATATAACTGTTTGCTGATGATACAAACATACTATATGTAAAATTAATGATAACATGTGCATGATATAAACTTAATATTACTTATGACACATTCATGGTATATATGTAATATTGCTGATGATACAGCCATGATATATAATATGTAGTATTGCTGATGACACATCCATGGTATATATGTAGTATTGCTGATGACACAGCCATGATATAAACTTATTATTGCTGACTACACAGCCATGATAAAGACTAAATATTGATGACTACACCACCGAGATAATTATGTAAGGCTGCTGACTACACAACCGTGATGCTCACTGTATTCCCTAGCTGCATGTGTGACCTGTACATGGCGGTCAGACATACATCAGCTGCCATGACAAGCTAAAATAATGTCTTGAAAAATTGGACTGAAATAAGCTGGAAGAGTCTGTGTTATGGGCAGATAACGCCAGGTGATAAATCCATCTCTGAAAACAAAAACCTATATTCCCCTCCAATTCCAGTAACCGTAGCTAGCTATGTACTGACAAATGAAATATGGCATTTCGATTAGGTGTTCCATTCTGATTTGTGGGAATTTCAGAATCATCAAAGAATTCGATGGGATTATTTCTGCAGTGATCAATTTGCTGATCAGATCTAATGGCGCTCGTAGGTAGATAAGAGGCCTGCCGATATCTTCTTGTGAAATGTCATCAATTAAGAATTTGACTGTTATTGATGAGAGTTGGCTCCGTTGGATGAAATTATAGCTTTTCTATCCAAATACTTTCACAGTCTGTGCTTGATTGATGGATGTGGTTATCTGTGAGTATAGTGTTCTGACTTGATGTGTTCATTCAGACTGAAAATGCTCCTATGACTTACATGTTGAACCAGGAGTGGAAATGACGAGAACAGATACCCTCACCGTATACTTTCCCAGCAGGAGAAGGTAGCAGATTGGAAGGGACATGTTTTTGACTCGGGGTCTGATTATGTTTTCCTATCCACTGACGATGTACACTGTTGCTAAATGATGAAGGATTTGTATGTACACTGTTGCTAAATGATGAAGGATTTGTATGTACACTGTTGCTAAATGATGAAGGATTTGTATGTACACTGTTGCTAAATGATGAAGGATTCGTATGTACACTGTTGCTAAATGATGAAGGATTTGTATGTACACTGTTGCTAAATGATGAAGGATTTGGGAGACCCAGCTGTCCATGGTGCTGCCATTCAGTGTGCAGAGTTGTGTCCCTTAGGCGTGTCAGGAACATCTGATTGTGGGTTTGAATCCTCCATTTGCACTGATCATGTAATCATGTGTATATACATCTGCTCGTTTGTTGAAACTGTCCTTAAACATCAAGCTGACATGCCGGCATATTACTGAAATTTGAATTCTTTGAGAAATTGATCAGATTGACACACCTCAGAATTGTTGGCATTACTATTTACTTTCTAGTTAAGTGGTCAGTTCAGAAGCTAATATATATAGGAAAGTACTTCTTTTTTAATACATTCTTTCCAAATTCAATTTAACGTGGTTAATCTACAGGTAACCTAGCTCTATATTTAATATGCACAGTATGTTTAGCTCCTAATTTACCATTATAATATCACTCGGGGGAC